AAAGGATAACTATCCAGAAACAGAACAATATTCTAGTAAATTCATATCACAATTCACCCTACTCCAAGGTAAATATAAATAATACTTTGTAGAAATGAAATCAAAATCCAAAAAATATCTATGAGAAACTAACCCAACATTGAAGTTTTTGTCATCACTAGTCCACTCAATGGACACAACCTCATCTGGCATACTGGTTGAGATGGGGCCACATGGGATATCAAAATTCTTCATATTACGCAAAGCCTCACGCAGCTTTGTCATCATATCAGCTGGTATCTGCAAATAGGATCATATCAAAATGAAAGACAAGGTCAGAAAACTACATACAGTATGGTCAAAGAAGCTGATCCCGTCACTCAAGACAAAATCAGAGTAAAAGTACCTGAACCATCAGGCCATCTTCTACAATGGAGGATTTGGCAGACAGGCCAGATGTGGTTTTCAGTGCTCCGTTAAACACAATGAAGCTTGCTCCAGTCACTGAAATAGAGCAAATAATGATATTAACTTTTTTTTTTTTTTATAATGTCACTGAGTTCATGTTAGTATTATTATGAATATAATTCAAAGTATTCTGTATACTTTCCCGTCAATAAACAATTCTCTGAATATTCACTTTTTTCTTGCGTCACAATAGAAATACCTTAAAATATGCTACACACTTTCTCAATCACCTGTTATCTTTTTCCAATACAATTTTCTTACAGATATTTTATGATCTCTGAAAGTTACCAATTCAGCTATCAACTATTCGACTAAAACTTTGCACTTGAGCCTCACAATCTAAAATATGTTTTGCATGAGCCTTTCACGTCTGGATTGAATTTTATACCTGGACACTATTACACCCTACCATTACTTACTTATTTTGGCCTAAGTCATTGTATCCTGATCATCATGGGGAGTAGGCCTATTCCATTTAGTAAAGCAAAGATATTTTACTTAACCCCTTACCACCGGGTGGCATGCACTTAGATGCCATGGCTGTTGTGGAAAGAGTAGTGGATGGCATCGTATTACTGCACCATTGGCTCATCAGACAGAGCTTGTTTTTCTCCGATATTAGCGGCTTTATTTATATGGTAAAGCTTTTAGGCAATAGCACCAAAAGTGAAAGTAAACCTTCAAATTTCTATTATTAAAAATTATAGCTAAATAAAAGCTTTATAGCTGAAAAATAATAACTACCAAACGAGCCAGGCGCAAACAGGGGAAACAGGCAATACACGCCAACAATCTCACAATCATGTCCACTAGCTAAACTTTTTTACCCATGGTGAATGGGTTAGCATGTAATATACAAGAAAGATGATTTTTTTTGATACATATCTTTACAAAATACTTCCAAGATGGTATCATCTCCAAAATAGTGGCAGTGAAAAAAATAATTTCAACTTTCTCCAAGTAATTTAAGTAAAGAAAAACTTTCATCAGTATAATACATCATGATATAAGTTCACTCATTTGAGTCTTAAATTGGTAGTCTAGCTATGCAAAGTTCATAATTTATATATGATTGATCATGGTAACACTTATTTAAAAGCAGAATAGTCGTAATCATACTCTTTGCTAGAGCATCAGGTTTGCAATTAACACATATTACATCACAGACATTCTAGTATCTGTTTCTTTTGGTAAAAAACTTTACACTATGAATAAGGAAGTAAAGTAGATTTTCCTTTGTTGAGAGTTTGGTGAATAACTAAGACAGAAAGAATCAGCTGCAACTTTCCTTTACAATGCATACAACTCTTTGGCTGAGACAGGTAAAGATCAATGGTAAGAGATTTCTTATACTAAAATATTTTAGCGTATTCTAAAACACACGAACAGTTAACAAACCTTTCCGTGGTCGGTTATGTATATTGATGGCTTGAGTGGAATAGTGTCCGTCATCATTTTCTATAGTGACTAAATGTGAGTCTGCTTGTGGACTGAAGTTGGCCCCCAGAGCAAGAACATGGTCATTGCTGTTACTTAAAGCTTTGGCCACCTTAGAAGAGACAAGGTTTCCATTAATCTTTACAGAAAGAGTTTCAACAGAATGTAAGACAAGGAGGGAAATGAGTGACAAATACATGAAGTGAATCTTAAGTGTGAGAAAGTGTGCATATTCTGAGAAAAAGAAGGATTATTGGGAAGTAGAGGAGCAGATGAAAGGCAGAGAACACTAACTTTCTTATGAGATGTTGTGAGGGAGATGAACATTGTGAAAGAAAATTAGTGAGGGACAGAAGGATGAGGCTCGTAATACGGCTTTTGCAGGGAAGCAAACTCGAATGGGATGAGATATATAAATGACTTGATGGGATGAGATATATAAATGACTTGATGGGATGAGATATGAGATGAATATATAAATGACTTGATAAGTGTATAAATAGGGGGAAAATTCTATGCATATATAAACACTAAATGAAGAATAATTTCAGCAATAATAATGAACAAACTAAGACCTCATTCATTACCTGTTCGTATCTATTCTTTGGAAATAGCAGGCTGGTCTTCTTGTCTTCCATATGGATAACAAAGCCTTCAATTGCAGGAACTGTGTAGGCATAATTTCGGAAATCCTGAAAAGAGAAGATGAAATTACATCTACATGGACTGATATCAACACCAAAAACTCCAAAAGCAAATGTTCTCTTCCTTTAAAAATTAATGCGCTAAAAATCTTAGCTTGTCACATCTCAGATATTAATATACAACCTTCAAAACATGAGATGCAAATAAATCAATTTCAAATCATCAGTCTATATGCAAATTTCAGTGTTTCACATTATCATATTCCTGTAATGAGTCCAAATGTCTTCAGATCATAAACTTACCACTAACAGATTCATGATTGTGTGTCCAATCTCACAAAAGACTGGCTTTCTGTTGCGAGTTGACACAAGAGGACAAGGATAGTATCGGAATTCAGCTCCCATACGCAGCATCAAACGCAGTGGGAAAACCTGGAAAAGAATGTAATAAGATGAATGTCCCAGAAAAATGGAAAAACAAATATCAATTTTAATTTTTCTATAAAGAAGAAAATGTAACTTGCTGTGTGTATACTTGCATGTAAATCTATAAATCTATGATATCTATTTGTATACCAATAATAACATCAATTTCTACAAAAACAACTTTTCTCTTTAATAAAATCAAGCATATTAGTAGATAAAATCTGCAAAAAATTCAGAAGGGTTTCAATTCCTCTTCATTTTTTCATTATTTATTTTTTTTTTTTACTTTTCAAGAGGAATAAATATGTACATATTACTCTTTCAACTCACTTTAGCCCAAGGTGTCTCCCACTTCTGAATAAGGACGGCAAATATATATGGAGAAGGTGGCAACACAAGGTTGCGCAGGCACTGGAATGTGGGTCGTATGTACAGGAAACCACCATGTTCCCGAGACCCTAAAAATCCTTCTGGTTCAGTAAATATGGTATGTCCTAGTTCAGTTACCAAGTTCCCTGGAAAAAGGAATAAATGAAACTATCTTGCAGCATATCTGTCACTGTTATGCAATGACGTTCAACACCCCATGCACTTTCTCTCAGAAAAATCAATTAATATACTAATGTTGATGGTGTGCTACTTCAAATAGTCCACTTAATTCACTTCACAAAAAAAACTCCACAGCAGTATGATGTTTGCATTCTTATGATAGAACCTTGTACATCTACAAAATATGCTAATAAATCACAAAGAAGGAATCCACTAACAAACACATGAGACTTTCAAATACAATTCATTAATCAAAACAGTTTATGACATAAAACTCTACTCTACAAAAGTTTGGCAATGACATTATCTTACATTACTAAAACATCAGCAAAACCTGGCTGACATCTCCTTACCTTGATTAGCCTGCTGATAGACAGTGTGGAAGAAGGCAAAAATGTCCCTCGGGGGGTGAGCCTCTCCTGGAGCTACTTCCAGAAGCACAACCATCTCCTCCTGACCAACCGTGCATAGACCACGGGTGGCAATGTTCCAGACCTCCACCCCCACACAACATTCAACTGCAAACATAAATCTGGTTATAAATGATTCACTAAAAACTGATTCTGCATACTTAGATTCATTAGTGGTACAAAGTGATAACTTTAACACACTAAAGAACTATATACAAGTAAAACTATATATATAAATATATATATATATATATATATATATATATATATATATATATATATATATATTATATATATATATATAAAAAAAAATCTACAAGTATACATCTTTGACATTTCCTCCAGCAGAGAATGCCAGAGACACAACTCATACTTACGTTTTACCATCTTGACAAGGACTGTTAGATTCTTGTGAACAGCAAAGACTACTGGTGGTCCATCTCCCCTCATCTGCTCCTCCAACTTGCTGCTATCTGGGTTATCCTCGAAGACATATTCTGCAAAAATAATTCACATCAATTAACCCCATTACCATTTCACCTATAAAACCCATAACACATCTTTTAATAAACTAGTCATAATTACAAGGCATCAAGGACACAGAAAATAACTCTCTACCAGGCCATAATATATATATACACACAATAAAATACCGTATTCAGGCACCCAGACCAGTTTTTGCACACACTTCAAATGTTTACTCTGACATCAGTAGGTTAGCCACCACTCATCAATCAACATGGACTGGGATGGACAACTTGCATTGAAATGATCATGCAGCTTTTTCCTCTATTGTCTAATTCATATACAAATTAATGTCTATGTTATTCACGAGCTAAATCATTCCAAGCATCCTGCACCCACACATAACATCTCAGAGCCAATAAATGCTACTTCTATATAGCTACCAAGATTATATTTCAAAATGCATATACTGTGTCATTTTGCTCATATTTTTCCTATTAGTCTACTGAATGATCTGAATGATATGCTTGTCATTAAATCTGAACACTACTGTAACTGTGATCTAAAAACAAAATAAAATCCAAATGCAAGAATATTTGATATTTTCATGTAATTATAAATCCACTGCCCACAAAAAAGTCACTGCATGTACTCCTTTCCTTCCCTCCCTCCTTCTGTCCCTTTAATGTGTCATACATAAGCATACTCTATATATAATTTACAAATAAGGCACTTTGTACTGCCATCAAATTCAGTTTGATTAACAATAATGCAATTATGTGGAAATGTTTTTCAAATATTGCAAAAAATAAAAAGGCATATGAACCTAAACTTTTACAAAGCTGTCCACAGATGATCAAATTATTTCAGCCTGTTATGGAACAAAAGCACAATATACAAAACAGTCCTGATATAGCTTAAATGCCCCCTAAGTTACAATGATCCCTTAAAAAAAGACTGTTTGGTATCTTGTGTTTTAAAAGGGACTATGACTATGGCAGTTGTTCTAAATACAATAAAAGATCTAAGAATAATAACATCAAAAATTATATTAATTTCTTACCAATACTAAAGGTTATATGCTCACAGTCATGAGAAAAATAACAACATTAGTAACAATAATAAAAATGAAAACTTAACCATACAAGAACCAGGACCTAAAATATTTGACAATAACACCAATATCAATGATGCCAAATTTTATATAAATGTTAGTGTTCATATTCTAACTTGCATTATTCTCAAAACAAGCCAAGACCTAAAAATAGAATCAAAACTTTTTTCTTTCTCAGTTTAGACACATAGTTACACATCATAAATCAATTATAATTAACCCGTTGTGTTACTTCCGATGCTATGTTAGTTCAAGTTTAAATTAAGCCATATCACTTATATCTAAAGCAAGTTAACTGTATAAAAGACAGGTTACTTTCACGACTTGGACATTTACACTCTGGATACATTTATGATAATCTGAATCATGCTCAAAATATGAATTTATTGCATCTGATATCAAGATATCAATGTCAAATCTTAGTTTTGCTCTGTGAACTGTCCATCCAAACAGATGGCTAAACAAGTTTTCAGTCACCTAAGGGGTAATTAGTATGCCCACAAAACCTCAATGGATTGCCCCTTTCCTCAAGTTTTTAAATTTTTTAAAAGTTATTGATAATACAATTATCATTAATGACATTATGATTGCTATAATGTTAATAGCAATATCTACTGTAAAAATATTAAGAAAAAAAACAAAAATTAAGGAAAAGGGTAAAGAGGTCAGATAGATAGGATTAATAACTGGATCCTTGGTGACTCGCCACTCGTGGACATATCATGTATGTACATCCTTTCCCCAGTATCAATGGTTAAATTTAGCATCTCCTAAAGTTGTCAGTTCATCTTTACATAAGCACAACATATTGAAAAATGAACTACTTTTTTATTTTAGTCTGCCAACGTTTACTACCCACATCCAATTCCCACATCAAAGCAACTGGACAAGTGCAAGCATCAAACCAAGGGAAATTACTCAAAACCAAAAGCACAAAAAGATAAATTAATACAACCCTTATTTCAACACGTTTTTTTTTTTTTACATTTAGTAATAATTTCAAAAAAGAAGAAAAAAGAGGTAAAGGTGACATGACAGATTTTGATACTAGAGCCTCCATTAGCAATAAGGAAAAGTTTAAATTTCAATTTGGATAAAGAACAGAAAAAAGAGATAAAGCAGCAAGGAAAACATAATTCTGTGTGTGTGTGTGTGTGTGTGTGTGTGTGTGTGTGTGTGTGTGTGTGTGTGTGTGTGTGTGTGTGTGTGTGTGTGTGTGTGGTGCGTGTGTGTGTGGGTTGGCGTGTGTGTGTGGTGGGTTGTGTGCGTGTGTGTGTGGGTGGGTTGGCGTGTGTGTGTGTGGGTTGGCGTGTGTGTGTGGGTGGGTTGGCGTGTGTGTGTGTGGGTTGGCGTGTGTGTGGGTGGGTTGGCGTGTGTGTGTGGGTGGGTTGGCGTGTGTGTGGGTGGGTTGGCGTGTGTGTGTGGGTGGGTTGTGCGTGTGTGTGTGGGTGGGTTGGCGTGTGTGTGGGTGGGTTGGCGTGTGTGTGTGGGTGGGTGGGTGTGTGTGGGTGGGTGTGTGTGTGTGGGTGGGTTGGCGTGTGTGTGTGGGTGGGTTGGCGTGTGTGTGTGTGGGTTGGCGTGTGTGTGGGTGGTGGTGTGTGTGTGGTGGGTTGGCGTGTGTGTGTGTGGTGGGTTGGCGTGTGTGTGTGTGGTTGGCGTGTGTGTGTGTGGGTGGTTGTGTGTGTGGTTTGGGTGGCGTGTGTGTGTGGGTGGGTTGGCGTGTGTGTGTGGGTG